ACCCCCCCCCACCCCCCCGTTCCCCCCCCCCCCCTCCCCCCCCGCGGGACCCGGGGCTGGCCCCTGCCTACCCCATAGTGCTCCGAACTTCGGGGTCAAGGGTGGAGGGGGTATGGGAGGAGATTGGGTTTAGGGTCGTTCTCAAACTAGAAAGAAGGAGAACTCAGAGTTGCAACTCCGACCTCCCCCAGACCTGTCCCTCAGCAGTCACCTTCTTCTGGAGGAGGGGGCGGAGCCTGAGCCGGGGCAGTAGAGGGCGGGTGTCCGGGAGGTCCCCAAGCGGCGCGCTCCTCCCCTAGCCCGAGAGTCCTCTGCCGCCTGGGAAGGTGCAGCCAGTGCCACGCCCTCCGGGAGGGCGGGGCCTGCCACCGAGGCTCGGATGCCCTCAGTCACAGCCGGGAATTCAGGAGCGAAGGAGTAGCTTGAGGATTCGGAAACCTCGGATTAACCGCATGGGAAATGCCGTGGCCTAGGTCTCGGGATCCATGCATTTGGGCCGCTAGGGGTCTCACCGAGCCCCCAAATTCTGAATTTCCCAGTTCTCCAGTGAATCACACTCAGTCCTAAACCAGCACACACAATTCTGTCAGACCCCTCAATCCCCACAGAGATTCTAGGCGACCCGCTAGATCACCCACCTACAGGCCGTAACGACCCCTCGATCCCCATCGCTCACCCACGCCCCTCCGCTGACTTTGCCGTCCAAGGGCCCTGGTAGCAGGCACTGAAGGGTTAAGAAGGCCGTGGGGCACCGAAGCAGCGGGTACGCGGGCGCCTGAGCTAATTGGCGACCCCAGAGACAATGAAGGCTGGAAGGCTGGGGAGGCTGGTGGCTTAATTGGGCCTGGGAGTGGCTGGCCTTTGTCTGGCTGCACTTGGCCTTGCAGCTGGGGCCCAGCAGAGCACTGGGTGGGCAACTCCGGCTGGGGGGGCGTGTAAGGCCGAAAGCAAGAGGGCGGGAGTACTCTCCAAACTGCGCTCCAGGATCTGAAGTAGTACCCAACCCGAGTGGCTGCACAGCAACCGCCAGAATGTAGCAGCAACCACCGGGCTGCTGAAGCCGGCCTTCAAAGACAGACTCCCCCTCCGGTGGCTGTTCTGCCATGCCCACCACCTCAGGTGGTGCCCCCTGGTGTCCGCAGGCCGCGGGGTACCCACCGCCAACTCCCAGCATTCTTTCCTGGTTGAAAATGAGAGGCCGCAAAAAGCCAGTTGCACGCCTTGTTCTGTGTATTTTACAGGCGTTTCAACCCGACACGACCTCGAATAAACGCAGAGATAAGGAGAGGTGCTATGCGAAGGGGTGAGTGGCTTTCCTGCTCCTACTTGGTTCGTAGACCCCATTGTGGGCTCAGTCTAAGTAGATCAGAGTCAGGGAAGCCATAACCCAACTAGGATTGCGATGAGATCTTCTCCTCCGCCCACTCAAAGCTTTCAGCTTAGTTTGGGGCAGCCTTCTCCCAGGAAGGGTGGGCAGTTTTTTTTTTTTCTTGCAAATGTGTCATCCCAGGGGCATCCCAGGAGTTCTGAGCATTTGGAGACCCCAGAACTTTCAATTGAGGAAGGGAGGGAGGGAGGGAGGGAGGGACGAAGGAAAGAAGGAAAGAAGGAAGAAAGGAAGGGGTGCTCAAAGACCACAGAGCCAGGGACATGTTGAGGAAGTAAGTGCTTGCCAGCCACCCCTGGCGGACTTCGGTTAAGGAGTGAAAGCACCTGCAAGTTCGGTGCTACTGAGAAGGGTAGACTGCGGCCCCCTGGAGCGAAATGGATGGGGTCAGCTAGCTGTCCTTGATGGAGTGGGGTCTTGGGGAAACGCCAGCCCAATGGGACTGGTAGGACACAGTGGTACCCCCTTGAATGTCCGCAGCCAGCTGAGGCAGGAAGGGAAACAGCTTATTGGCCCATGCTCACACCCCCGGAGTTAGTCAAGTTCTAAGGAGGAATTTTTTAGGCCAGATTTCGCCACTCCATTCAGCAGCTCAAACATCAAATGATACCAGAAGGCAGTGATGGGACAGAATTCTGGAGGCTGTGGTATTGAAGAAACACGACCATCCCCAATACACCCACTTTCCCAGACCATGTACCCAGAAAACGTTGCAAAGGGGTGAAGAGTGGGCCCACAGTGTCCTAGAACGAGAGTTGAGACCAGGTCGCTCTGCTCTTCAGCTCTTGACATGGCTGCAGAGACCAGGTTCCGGGAGCAGCAGGAGCTGTGGACACACAGCTAGTGGCCAGCAGAGGGAGCCCAGGCCGCGGGCCTGGGACGCGGGGACTGCGATGCGGAGCGGCGCCTCCAGGGCCAGGCTGTGCCCGGCGCCGGCGCCTGGGGCCTCGCAGCTCTGCACGCGGCTCAGTCGTGCAGCCGAGGTGGCCGAGGTGGAGCTGCCAGGCAGATAGGGGCACCCAGCCTTTGTCCCCGCCTCACTCCCTTCTTTGGCGCCCACAGAGCCCCAGCCCCGCGCGGCCCACAGAGCGCACAGCGCGGTTCACTTCGCATCGCAGCGTTTTATTATTCGCTCGCTTCGTTCTCCCTCTGGAGCAAAAAGTGAAAACCTGAGGTGGGGCCCGTGGGCCGGGCGGGCAAAGCCGGGGCGCAGAGGCTGAGGGGCCCGCGGAGGGGTCCTTCCCTGGGGTTCAGTGCCTCCCCCTTCCCCAGCAGTCAAAGATCCTGGGGCCCTGTACAATATAGATGCTCATGTAAAATGAAAAAAAAATTAAATGCTATGAGTTAATCTCTAAATATATGTACACTGCAATGTACACCTTTGAATAAATTAATACGAATTTGCATCTTCTGTGAACCTTAAAGCTTATTTACACAAATTACCATTTATTTCATAAATATCTTTTGCCCCCTGGGGACTCAAAGCAGAAGTGCAACTTCCTCCGCTGACCCAGAAGTAGGAATGGTGCCTGTCTCTGGTTGGGTAGAGGTGGGAAGATCAAATGGACAGGACTCCTAGCTCGAGTCTACACTGACTTCAGGCTTCTCTGGCTCCAGCATCCTCCATCCCAGTTTCTCACGACGTCCAGGCCCAAGGCCGGGGATCGTGGGATACTCTCCAAAGAGAACACCTCTCTACCCTATGCACGTTCTGGCTTCCGAAGAGACTTGGGACTCCATGCCCACCCCTATAGTGTTGAAAGAAGGAGGTACCATGTAGTTGACTCTCAGATCTGGATCAAATCCAGTGAGTGGCTCCAGTGCGACTGTGTTGCGGGTAGACTGGTTCCTCCTTGAGGTCCCAGGGAAGCGGCCCAGATCCCCGACCTGCCACACGAGGCTCTATTCTGACTGCTGAAGCCTGCTTTTGCTCTTTTATTTAAATAAATACCCATTCTGTGCTGTACACGTCCCAAGCAGCCGAGGCAGGCAGCCCAGCCCCGGAGGCTCGTGTGGCAGCGCAGCAGCCAAGCAGCCCCCTCACTTGGGCGACTCCCGGCCTGGGGAGAGGGCTCGCTGGCTCTCCAGCCCACTCACCAGTCTCTGGATGCTCTGCAGTTCACTGGCCGCCTCTTTGGCTGAGCCGCTGGGCGATAGGGCCCCACGGGATGGGCCCCCCACTTTTCGGAGAGCCAGCTCAGGCAGTGGGCTGGGCTCACGGCTACTTCCGCCTGCAGCCTTGGAGCCCTCCGCAGCTAGCCCGGTGGTAAGGAGGCTAGTGCTAGGTGGGATGGTGACCGGGATCTGGTAGGGGCTGAAGCGCAGGCGGGGTCGGGCACTGCCCAGGAATGGGCTCCGTGATAGGGAACCAGCGGCGGCGGCGGCGGCAGCTGCAGCACTGGTGGCAGGTAAAGCGGAGGCAGCGGCGGCCGCTGCTGCCATGTAAGTGTAGGGGTAGGGGAAGAGGCCTCCGAAAGTGGGCATTGGGATTCCCTGGAAGAAACAGAAGGAGCAGGGTTAGACATGTGTCTGAAGGATGGTAGCCTGAATACTACGATTTGATACTCTTTTCCTTACTCGAACCAGAAGTCACCATAAAACCACAGGCTCACAGGTGGAGGATGAGCCCGTGAGCCAGGGCCAAACCCTGTGAGTCCATCACCTAGGGTGAGAGGCAAAGGCCTGGAGTTGCCCTGCTCTGTCTGATTTGGTTGGTATGGTAGGGGTAAGGGAATAAGCATTAGCTGGCTAAACTAGTATGGGCAAAGGCCTAGAGGGAAGGAATGCTGCAGGCATGAGGCCAGGTGGGAAGCAGGCAGCTGGTACTGTCCTATGAGGTTCTGCTCATCTAGAACAGTGGTTCCTCCATGCAGGTTTCAAGTTGTTGCAAGATGCTCAAATATCTTGCCTGCTTGCCTGCCCACCAAGGTGCTGTCTCACCAAGGTGCTGACCAGTTCATGAACTGGTCTGAATATTTGACAAAGAACTTCTGTGGCAGCAGAGGACAAAATGCAGAGTCTTTGCTGGTGGATAGCCCAGCAACGAGGAAACCTGGACAACCGGTGCACTCAGCTCATGAGGCCCTGATCTGAGAATATCTGACCTTTGAGATAATGCCCCAGAGTGTGTGTGTGCCAGTGGAGCAGGCGATAGGGGACTGACATATTAGAATCAGAGAAATCCCAAGTCCTGGTTCAAACAGGGAGAAACCAAGAAGCAGTTTAGCTTGGGGAAATGGAAGGGCAAACCCCACTGTGCACTTCAGACCTGGCACCTCGGGCTGGGAGGAGGGGAGGAAGCTTCGAATTTCTCAAGACTTGGCTCCACCTGACACACAGCTATGGCCTTACCCCCTAACAGCTAAACCAATTGATTTCTCGTGAGCTCTGGAATACACTCTCCCTGGATTTGCACCTACTGACCAGGCTGTGTCCAGAAATACTGGCTTCCCTATGTTCTCTGTAATTCTCATAATCACCAGAGTTTGTTTGGGGGAGAGGGGATTCACACCCATAGAAAGCCAGGGGTACAGATCAACCCCCCAGCCCAGACTCATGGGTGGTGCCCCAGACACTGCATACACCCTGAGGATAAGCTCTAAGCTCTGTTCAAAAACTCATTTCAGAGCCCCACCCCCGACTTTACACATATTCGCTTCTGAACCAAAGCCACGTTCTCAAAAATCTAAACTCCTGTTTTCCTTCCCTGGAGATAAGATCTCAAGGGTTCAATTTGCCAGAAACCTCAGAGGGAAGAAACTGAATGAAGAGATTCCAAATCTTTCCACAGGGAATATTCCACCCAAGTAACTAAAGAGGCTGCTCTGCGCATCCGATCTCCTTATTGTGCCGCTGGCCACATTTTCATAAACTCTCCCCTGGGAACTCAGAATTTCAGTAGGAGGCTGTTAAGGAACTAAGCCCCCTTCCCTGGATGTGGCTGGAGAGTCAGGGGACTCAGAGTAGGGCAAAGACCAATCCAGTTACTTATCAAGGCAGGCAACTTCCTGGAGGACCTCTAAGGTCAGGGATATCTATGAGGTGAGTCATTTTGGTAGTCAACTGTCCAGAAAATAATGCAAAATTCCCTCTTCCGTTCGCCCAGCCTACAGCATCTTTCAGAGCTAACCATGAAGGTTTTCCTTCTCAAACGTTTCCTAGGGCCAGAAAAGTGAATCCCATAAAACCCAGGAGCAACCCTAGCTGGTCAACCAGAAAAGTGTTGAGAGGCGCACTCTCACCCCTCGCTAGGATTATAGAGAAGGACACAGGCCCAGAGAGGACCAGGAACTTTCTTAAGGTCACACAGGGTTCAGAAGCAATGCCCTGGCTAGATCATGGGCAGGCATTCGGTTTTAACCTCTCAGGACCTAGATGGCTTTCCTGTAGACGGGATTTGGTCCCTCAGAGGATCTGAGTACCTACAAGACCTCTCAGGCTCTCTGCCCATCTCAGCCACCACCAAGCTGCGACCCCCTCCTTCAGCTGCTCTGCCGGCAGATCACAAGCCTTACCTGAGATGCCAGCATGTGCTGGGAGAGGTGGAACGGGAAGGGCGCCGCGGTGCTTGCTGCGCTGGCTGCGGGACCCAGCCCGCCTGCGTCCAGCCCTGCCGCGGTTCCAGGCCCGGCGCCTCCGCTATTGCCGCCG